CAACTGTGTTAGGCTTAGTGTGTGTGCTTCAATCTGTTAACTGTGGTTAAGGTTGGCGACTGGGGAGACGCGCTCCTGATACTGTATCCCAAACTCGTGAGTAACAACTGTGTAAAGATATTGTTCAAAATATGATTAATCTTCTGGAACAAATTTGAACTGTACTGGCTTCCTTGAACTGTTACTTGTTAATTGAAATGAATTGAATGTCCTCTATTCTGAACTGTAATTATGGCATCCTAGCACACTACTGTTACTGAACTGTTATGTTACAGAGATCTTGTCGGTTCGCCTCGTGGAACCACTACTGTTTACTGATTGATGGCCATCCATTACTGTTCGGTTCTTAAGACGTACTGTTTCTGTTATGCTAATGGATGATACCACATATGATTGAATAACTGTTCTGACTGAAAGACTGAAGTATTGTTTAATGAACTGATTTGCATTGACTGTAAGGACATTTTCATTCTTACCTCCTGTAGACGTCCCGACGCCCGGGAGGAACGAGCTCCCCGTTCTGTTCATTTTGGGGTGCCACTACAGGCTCAAGGACTCTCAAATTGTCACGAGTTCCTAAATCTAACCAAAGAGTCCAAAATCCGGCAATCGTTTTAAGAAAACAAGATTTTGAAAGAAGTGCCAACATGACTGCTTTGCAGATACAGAGTCGCCACAACCGTTCAATTCTAAATATTTTATTTTTGGGAATTTTAGGAAACCCTGATCGTTTGCCTAAGGCCACGTGTCGCGTCATCACGCCAAAGTTGCTCAGCTCACGGGAACTTGGGTAACGATTGGGGAAGGTCAATCTTCGTGAGCCACCCCGCTCGCATCCGATAGATAGCCTCTACTACCATGATATCAATTTTTGAAAACTTTGTGTGTCCTTATTCGGTTATTAGCCTAAGGTTTACTATGTGATGCACACGCATATAAAGTATAGACTGGGTTCCGCCCGAATTGGAACAAAACATTTCATGCTTGTGTTTTGAAAGATGAAGCCAATTGCTACTCACCAAGTAGGCTAAAATGCAGATTTTGCCAAGCCCGCAGTATATTTGAAGTGGGTGCTTAAGAAGAGATGGTTTTTGACCACTATCTAAGTGGGCTTAAACTCACAGTCAATGATTTGTTCCAATCTAAACAACCCCCAACCTGTCCCACCCCTACAGGCATTCAGGGCAGTTATATCACATAAGCAAATAGCCTCATGTGTAAGCATGCTATCATGGCATTCACGTCAACACGCGATGCAAGGATGCCTAAAGCATAGACACTTACTGAAGTGCTTCCAAGCGCAAAATAGAAACTACATTAGAAAATCATGCATGAATGCCTAAGTATACAAAAATGCCTATATGCAACACATGCAAAAATGCAACTATAGCAGGCTCGGCTATTCTAAACATGGCATATGGAATGCTACAGTTAAGCATGTATTCAACTTGGAATTTGAAATACAATGCAATTAGTATGGTGCGCCGAGTCCCGTGGCTAGCAAAAACAGATGAATGATGCAAACATGCTGTCTACTGTCATGCTAATTGAAATATGCCGCTAATCTAACCATCATAAGAGCGATAATAAAGGGAGAAAGACGTGGGGTTGGAAGACATACACACACACACAGCACACTTTTACAGTTGTGCCCTACGCGCAGAGGTCCGAATAAATAATACAGTCCACAATAAAAGAATAGTACAATCCAAATAATACAGTCCAATATATACAAATTCCTAATTAATTAATCAAATTACTAAGAAAGCTGTAAAACTGGCGTGCCAAGCCAGGGACTGCCTTGCTCCTGATGAATGATGCATGTCTGGGCTGCCTTGCGAAGAAATCACTGGGTCCGCGAATTTTAGCCTCTGTTTTGTGATTTTTCTTGGAAAAGCCGGCGCAAACTCCGGAAGTTTGCTGATTCTTCATTTGCTGGCAACAGAGAGCAGGAAAGGGGCATAAGCAAGTATATTTTCAAGTATATGCATGCCGTCGATTCCTCGTGCCATCAATCCGCAATATCGTGCATGATGGCAGAGGGTCGAAATGGTCACTTAATATAGAATGAATGCAGGTAAACACCAACAGAACCTAACTCCATGCTATGGATAATGCGGAGTGTCGGGTGACTGGGGAATGGACGACACGTTCCGTAACTGCGAGTACGAAACGCAGGCCCTCGTTCCCGTGCCCAGGGCTAACTCTATCTCGAACAATGATGAATATGCATGACATGCATGGAATGCAAATAAGATACAGCTAGTATATGCACAAATGTTATGAAATGAGATGTCTCGAAATGGCGTGCACACGGGCACACAAATCGAGAAAAATACTGAATGCGATCTAAGATACAACCTAGTATAGCACTAAATGCTGTAAAAAGAGCATGCCTCGAAATGTGTGCACAGGGCACGCAACCGAGAAAATGACATACGCAATGCAAGACATGGAATGTGATATGGGCTTTACACTAACATAGAGAGAGCCTCAGCCACACTCACATAAGAGGCTGATGGACGATAAAATGAAGTGCCTCGACACGCGTGCACAACGAGGCACGCAATCGAGGCAATGGCCATGTGCAATGTAATTGGCTAAATCGCATATGAATGCAACATGGACTTTATCCTAACATGAGAGAGCCTCAGCCACACTCACAATAAGAGTGCCAATGGATGAAATTGAAGTGCCTCGAAACGCGTGCACACGGGCACGCAAATCGAGGCAATGGCATATGCAATGCAATAATGGGCCTTACCAACATGAGAGAGGTCTGCAGCCACAACTCACACAGGAGGCCCATCAGATGACAAATAAGACAACTCGAAATGCGTGCACGCAAAACGCGAGACGCGACCCTCAGGCACCGAAATGCCAGCTACTAATGAGACATGGCAAAGATCAGGAAAATGATATGTCAAACATGCAATTCTCAGTAGGCAAAATGAGGGGTAAAACACCCCGAAACGAGGCAAAAGTACACCCAATGCAATGGAATTTCTCCCGGAAAATGCAAGATTAAGTACGTGAAATGGCTTACAGCTATACAAAGCATGCATAATTGATAAATGAATGAAAAGACAGAAGCAAGGCAGCCTCAAAATAAAGCATTTTTACAGTTCAGAATATGGCAGAACATAACGAAACAGGGAAACTAGCATGTGCAAAAGAGTGGCCTAATTGAGGAGAGAGCAAGAGCTGTCTGGGCCTCAAAGAGGTTAGGTGCCCTTCACACTATTGAGAAGAGCCACAATAAGCGACTTACCTTATCAGAAATAATATAATAACCCCATAAATCAAGACATAGATCTGGCTCAACGCTCTTATGCTAAGAAAATGGCCAAAAGGTGTGGCCAAGAAGCACAGTGTATATGCAAAGCCCAAACTGAAAAATTCCCTTCTACAAAACACTGAAAGGACCAGAAATATGCACATTTACAGTTTATGGAAACCCGAAAATCAGTCACAAAACTGCTGAATATGCAATGTCAAAAATGAGGCTCAAAAGTGGCTATAACATGAGGTAATACAAGAATTCACCAAACGAGCAAAAGACGCCGTATAAAAACATGTTAATAAGGTACAAAATATAGCCATTTTAGTTCTGATATCAGGTCCAAAAATAGATAAATGATAGGCTAAGTGGAAGCTATCAGAGAATTTGAATAACGAGATATTGAAGCAAGCATATGGGTCAAGTTTGAGCCTTACATAAGCTCAAGAAGTCATTTCGATTAGCCAAGTGAGCTCAATTAAGCAAGCCATTGCTAAATAATGGCTGAATGAGCTGTAGAGTTTGGAAGTGCCACTTCCTGAAGACACAAGCCTTGTTTAGTTTGCTCTTATGGACAGATCTTGTCCTACTGCTAACGCTCACATTTGCTGCTAATGGATGTGATGTAGAGCTTAAAGAGAGAATGGACCAACTTGATAGTCGATTGTAGTATATCTGCAGCCGGATTCTCTAGTAACCTTCTTCGAGTAGGCCACTATTAGAAGGCGGAGAAAGGGTCAGGAATGAGCTGACGGAACATGAGCTGAACTTTTGCTCTGTAACCAAACTATGGGTCTTCCCCGGATCCAAGATATTGGGAAAGACCAAGGCACTGCTGGAATCCCGTTTTACTCATGGAAGTAGGATGTATACGCTGGTGATAGATGATGCAAGAAAC